CTCTGTGCACCGAGAGGCCAGCCGTGTAGGAGCCATGCCGGAGATTGGACCGGGACCGGAGCGCGGACACCGGACCGCGCCGGGACCAGCCACATTCCTGGACCGCCCAGCCAATTACAGACGACGCCCCTCGGGCCGCCAGTTCAGCCGGCTCGTCTCTGATGAACTCGGCTGACCAGAGACGCTCGCCACAGTCGCAGACGCCGGCCGGCGCGGTTACACGCAATTGGACGCACCTGATTTGGGGAGCATTCCGCGTCAATTACCCTGGAAATGAACCTCGTGGGATGCTGAGGATGTTCCCACGGAGAAACACGCCATGTTTACTGCTAAGCGGCGGGAATATTCACCGAATATCTATCTCATCCAGCTGCGAGCGAGAAAAGCGCGGCCCACAGTCACGCACCGAAACAAAAACTGGGAACTGGGATCGCGTCAGGCCACCTCGCCGGCATGAGCTCATTCGAACAAACACGAACGGGCACAAGAAACCTCATGGTTCAACACATTCCGACGGCCGCAGGCAAACCTCACCGAGACGCGGACTATCTCGACCAACCAGCTGGCCTGCCCATTGTTCGCCGTTCCGATCATTCCAGCGTCTCGGCGTGGCACGTGCTGCGTCCCAGCTCGGGGCGTGCTCTGTTGATGTTGACAGATCACCTGCCTCGAACACCGCTCCACGCGACAGCGGTCGGGACCCCACCCTCCTGTATCCCATACCGCAACAGGACGCGACATTCCCGCCCGGATATTTCCCGACCCGAGCGTCGCCGTCCCGTGACCCCACATGCCGGCGGTCGGCACACGGTGGGCCGCGGTGGGGCACACACCTGGTCCGTCGCTCAGCGATCGGTTGAACGGCACTGAGCACCACACCACGTCCGTGCTAGACCACCGGCTGTCGGGCCGCTGGCGTGAGTGATTTATCACCAGTCAGGCCCACAGGGCAATGGCGTGCGCTGCACTGGCACGTACCATTGCGTGGACACTGGCGGGGACGTGAGGGGGGATACATCAGGGGCGGGTGACGTCACGGCCCAAACTGGGTCCTGTCCGTCACAGCCGAGCCGTAATTCCATTGTATCGCTATCACATTCCGCCCGGCTGTAAACAACACACGTAACGGCCGGCCAGGGGGCAACATCCCGCTCTAAATGTAACACTGTAACAACGGTGCTTCTGGTCCCACTGACACCATAACAACATCGGAATTGCGTTCAGAAATGGGCCATCCGGTCGACCGGGAGCTGATTTCACAGCAGCTCAGGGCTGTTGTGAGTACACGGCCAGAGCAGGAAGGAAGAGAAGGAGGCACTCCGGTCACCTGTGATACCGGTCGCGCCTCGGTTGGAAGTCCGTTCTAATACCGGCTTCCGTTCGACAGGCGAGAGGCCGACGACATCTTGAGAACAGTAGGTGGTGGACGTAGGACAACTGGCGACGGACGGCTTGGTCACTGGGAGCGAGGAATATTAGTACTACCGGCGTCTATAGCGCCTCCGATACAGCAGAACAGTCTCTGATCCAGCCATACCAGGCCGTGCCAGTCTCCAGCGCTTACAGGATTTGCTTCCGAGGATTACCAGACACCAAGAGCTCACTGAGGTCTCTGAGTCAGTGTGTAGGCATCTGAACTACAAAACCAGCGCACGACGAGCCGGCAAACACGGCCGCTCCGATTGTGAAAGCGTCGTGTCGTCAACTGGCGTGACAGAACTGGATTTCTGGCAGCGATATCAGCCGAATTACACTGACACGAAGCGCCTGATGATTAATAACCGTTTATACCAGCACGAATTCCGGTAATCAAATGACAATAACCGGTAATGATAATGATAGCGTCGTGTCTATACGTGGAAATATAGCTCCTCATGGCGAATGGATTTACAAAAAGGGCAGAAACATCAGTTAAGTAGCGTGATGAAGCGATACATTTGGAGAAACGATAGCCACATCAAATTCTGGAACACCTTTCAGGCGAAGAGGCAGACATTAGCTCTGTTCCCACGCTGTCGTTCATTTAAAATGATAATCTAAATAGAAAACAGACTACAAATCACAGACATCAGATAGCTGATAAAGTTTCTTGACTCACATGTAATATACGAGTATCTTCATCACCAGGCTCTCAGAGCCACCGAGCCAAGGACAGGTTTTTGACTAATTGCTGGCCTATGTTCCTCGCTGAGACACCAGCCAATCAGCGTCGCCGTCGCCAGTGACGTCACACCTGACCGGCGCGGCGGTATGACCGGGGTTCATGGCGAAATCGTTTATCCACTCGTGGTGGTGAGGATTTTCCGTCGCCGTGCACGCCGGCTGCCGATTAGACGTGCCATTATGAGGTCGTAAGCGGCAGCACTACGGCGGCGTCACGTTGGTGACGGCACCAGTCGCTCGGTCAGGTAGTGCCTATTCCGAGGGCGACCAATGTCCGTACTAGTGACGGTCATAATTAATGTCCGTACTGCAGGAGAGCGAAGGAGACGGGTATGAAAGATCAGCATTGATTCAACTTGGTGATAACTGACAAAGCTGAATGCGGTTCACCTCGACTGAACATAAATATAGTGCAATGATTTTACTGTAGGTAATGAATTGGGAGACAGGTAGGACAGTTTTAGTTGTTTAATCGCATTATATTCCATTTCAAGAAAATACTCAAATGTCATATAAATCTACCGTCAAGGTTGCATCCAACGTAGCGCGACTCCATTCGATAAACCGTCCCTCACGTTTTCATATCGGCCGCCTCAAACCATAACGTCAGCTCTCGAGACCACGACAAATCTACCGCCCATCGCTCCCTGGAAGCGCTGAAACAGGCTAAGCCTCAGGCCGCGGTGAACAGGTCTCAGCCCCGGTCCGGCGGACCAATCCAGCCTCAGGCCAGACGCCGACCAGCAGAGACCAGAACAGGTTCCTCAGAGCCCTGCGGCCAATTGGCTGCTCAGTGCTCACCGTCTCATTATGTTTTGTGCAGATGTCCCGTCCCAAAATACAGATCCCGCCCAGCCCTGTCTTATGTTAGGTGACCGAGCCATTCAGCCGTATTCAGCCTTCCCTTCGACAGTCATTTTGTAGCGATTTGGGTTAATGACGAGATCCGCACTTCCTTCACTGGGGACTCATAATTATTTTCTTATAGGAGTCAAGGTTCCATTCTTCGGGCGAATTTCTGTACCTTAGTCGACTGACACATGCTCTACATGTCTTTGGAGCAATGCTCAATAAGCATCGGAATAGCTCTATATACAAACACGTCTGGTTCTGAAGCTTTGATGCTTGGTTAGAAACAGCTAACTCTTTCTGCAGTTCAAGGTTGCACCTGACAAACACACTGACAAATCTGCAGCCGCCACCGGTCCCGTGGTCGGCCCCGGCAGCGGTCGTGCCGGTCAGCAACAGGGGCGTTTGAATCTGGCGCCGGGGCCGACTGACCAAACCGGCCTGACCGGGTTATTATGACACAGTGCAGCCTCTCCCCCTTCCCTCCGTGCCGCCACAGACCGGTCCTATGAACATCAGACGGAGCAAGACGGGGCACAAGTGGCAAACACTAGTAGATCTAAAAAATTTTAGTCACTAGCATGCTTGACAAAAATAATCAAGTTATGATACATGAGATAAAAAAATCGAACAGATTTATCTCCATGATACAAGTAAATTAGATGGCTTCTCGGAGGAATCATTTGTCATCTCGCTGGGTTCGTGTCACCGCCCCGTATACCAGAGTTCCAGTCGCAGGTAGGATTGGTGGTAACCACGACCCGAGCGTGAGTTACCAGATTACCTCGAGTTGCCAGACGGTTCAAAACCTCCTCTCATGCTACCTCAAGATGCTACATTTCAGAGGAATGTGATATCCCTGCGGCATGAATGATGCCAGCTGATGCATCATCACGGAGCAGACGCAGCCCGCTCCAGAGGTCAGCGGGGTCGCAGAGGTCACAATACAACGGTCCGGCGCCTCAGTATCAGCTGGCAGTCGTTCCTCCTTCCCGTGCCGGCCAGGCCGTGAATTCAGGCCAGTGCGGCGGCTGGCCAGATAATTGTGACGAATGTGGTGTCGGCCAGTTGACATCGAACGACCTGACCCGGCGCACGGGTCAGTGGGATCGCATAGGTCACTGGAGGTTAGAAGAGAGCCAGACAGACCGGACGTCCGACCGGTTCCATCCCAGGTCACCAGCGGAACATGTCAGAGTCCCATCTGTCTCATCCATCACTGCCCCACCCATGCGACTGCACGGACCGAACTCAATGTCTGTCCGTCCCGTACAGAGCCACTTCCCTCTCACACACAAACGGACCCGAGGCCATACGGCATACAGCCTGTCCTTCCCCGGTCCATTCACTGGCACGTGTCACCCTGTCCATACTCCACTCCCACCCGCGTACTGTCCGACTCGTACACACCAGTTACATCCCCTCCCCTACCCTCACTACTACAACGCGTTTACGGCGTACTGTTCATGCATTCATTCAGTCTCCCACACACACACACTCCAAAGCTGGCCGGACCATCCCGCCCTCTGCTGGTTCACTGCGCCCCACACGCTCACACGCCCCTCAGACCCATGTCACGCTCCCTCCTACAGAGCGGCAGAGAGAGTGAGTGGTGCCTGTGGTCGTGCAGGTCCTCTATCCCAACTAGGTATAATGGATTCCGAAAAGATCGTGTCAGCAGTGAGGTGGTGGGAATACTGTTTGTGGTTTCGGCACATGCATGTTTACATGTATGATACAGGAACTAAGCAATAATCCCGAGTTACTTACAGTGGTCATGCACAGATCCAAAGCGGATCTTCAAAGTTTCACGGCACCAAACTCAAAGGAAAACTTCACCACCGTTTCCTTCTTCCCTAAAGCCACAGACCTCGAATATCCACCGCCACAAAATCCTCTTCCAGCCACTACCACTACCTCACACCATTCCCGATCCTTGACTCTCAGTCTCTCACCACCCCTTAGACCTCACCCCGTCCCCCACCTACCTTGAAGACGCCACTCTTGGCCTGCTGATAGAACAGCTCCACTGCCGCCGGGTCCCTGAGCAGTGTGAACGACTCGGGGTAGTATCGGACCAGGAAGTACAGCAGCAGCGGGCCGCCGGCGCGCGGCAGGTCGTGCTCCAGGACACGCACGTCCGGGTGCAGCCACTGGTTCTCCCCGCTGGAACACGCAGAGAGACGGGACACGGGGTCAGTCGGTGGGGTCTCACCTGGTGGCCGCTCAGTTCTCATTCACTCGTTCATCGTAAGCCGTCAGCTACCGTATCGAAAGCCATTGCAGACATGAGAAGAGCCCGCGGGCGATAAATAGGTACTGCGTTTACCCGAGCTGCTTTTGTTTACAGAGGCACGTCATATGGAAAGAGTTAATAGTATTGCCCTCTCCGGTTTCCCCGTTGGGATAAACAACACGGTTCTAGTGCCAGGAAACATGACAAATTGACTGGGATGTTTACAGTGCCTAGAGGCAAAAAGCATCAACTCATCTCAATCTGAATGATTGAGAGGTGGCTCATATGTAACCGATGCGCTAGCAAGTCAAGTTATAAACAAACAAGACCTGTGTATGCGAGGGCCACCAATCACTTCAAGCACCAATGGGCCTCACGACTGCGCAGAGCTCAGCATAACCAGCACATCTGTGTAAAACGTAACTTACTCATAACTCTGAAAAATTCACTCAATTTTCAATTCAATTCAGGGAATCGTCCAAAGCGAAAAATTATGTCGGTTATGCACCTTGGCCTCAGCGAACAATGAAACTCGCCGCAAAGCCAGCGATCTCGAGACCATCCTTCGGGACGATCTCGTCCCGTCCCTCCTAAATACCAAAGTCAAACTTGTTCAGCCTTTGATGGTTTTAGAAGTAGAATAAACTTTAGTAAAAGACATAAAACCGCGTTCATGAGGTTGTGATCATTATTCAAGTCAGACCGGTTTCGTTCCACAGTGAGAACATCTTCAGTGACAATATGAACAGATATGTAAGTTACATGTTTTGATGGGATGATTACCCTGACACGATATCGAAATTATTTGCACACACATATGCACACATGCAAAACTCAGTAAGTACACTTCTTCCAGGTGGAGAATTGTTCTACTTAATGATGACGACGCGCGACGGTGATACAAATGCACAGTGCACATGAGAGCAGTTGCACACCATTGGGTACACAGATCATAGAGCTAAGCGGTGACATTGAGAGGATATGCCGATGAAATGTCGTTTATTTTTGGTCGCAACCGAAAGATGTATAGTGATTCTAAAATTCTTAAATCAGGGAACGAGCTGTTCGTACCAAGAATTTCAAAATTATCAATCGTAAACAGAGCGTCACATGATAACGCATGATCTCTAATGGACGAGACTGCTGGGGTTGATGACATCAGTCCGGTACGAGGAGATCTGCCTTGGTGTTGAGCCACTCTGGTGAATAAACGTTGATACGTGGAACCAACAATGTCATTTACAAATTTAGTTGCGCCTCATGCCAGGCGTCATACGTTGGTTCCACGTATCAACGTTTATTCACCAGAGTGGCTCAACACCAAGGCAGATCTCCTCGTACCGGACTGATGTCATCAACCCCAGCAGTCTCGTCCATTAGAGATCATGCGTTATCATGTGACGCTCCGTTTACGATTGATAATTTTGAAATTCTTGGTACGAACAGCTCGTTCCCTGATTTAAGAATTTTAGAATCACTATACATCTTTCGGTTGCGACCAAAAATAAACGACATTTCATCGGCATATCCTCTCAATGTCACCGCTTAGCTCTATGATCTGTGTACCCAATGGTGTGCAACTGCTCTCATGTGCACTGTGCATTTGTATCACCGTCGCGCGTCGTCATCATTAAGTAGAACAATTCTCCACCTGGAAGAAGTGTACTTACTGAGTTTTGCATGTGTGCATATGTGTGTGCAAATAATTTCGATATCGTGTCAGGGTAATCATCCCATCAAAACATGTAACTTACATATCTGTTCATATTGTCACTGAAGATGTTCTCACTGTGGAACGAAACCGGTCTGACTTGAATAATGATCACAACCTCATGAACGCGGTTTTATGTCTTTTACTAAAGTTTGTTCAGCCTTATCCAACACTCCGTCCCATACTCTCACGCAAGGGAGAGAGAAAGAGAGTGAGAGCGAAAGAGAGGAGAGAGAGAGAGAGAGAGAGAGAGAGAGAGAGAGAGAGAGAGAGAGAGAGAGAGAGAGAGGTGGGGGGGGGGGCAGACCGGCTCAGCGACCTGGCAATTAGCGTTAGCACGCCTGGATTGCTGTTTTTGTCACCATTCCTTTGCCGGTCCTGAGATACTGCTAATGCCGGGAAGGTGATATGCGGTTTCGGGGCGGATAATTGGGTTAATTGTACGGTACCCGGCCCAAATACACGCGATAGTTGGGCCACATACTGGGAGACATAACGAGAACCCGCGCGGCCAGGTGAGCTGATTGGATATAAACACATAAAGATGCCAGCGCGCAGCTGTGAGATCGCCAACAGCCGCGGTCGAACAGGCGCCATTTGACGGAGAGCCTGAGGAGCAGCTCCCAGCTGAACACCCAGCTATGACTCCATCGATCTCCTATCACCCGGAATTATCCCACGCTCCGCCGCGGCAGACCGCGATCGCTCTTGACGCTGAATACATCACTGATACCGGAGTCGTCCCCATGACCATGCGAATTCCCCAACAGCGGTACACCAAGGCAGTCGGTAGGAGAGACGCTGCCGACGCCTCGTAACACAACAAACACGCTCAGAGGCTCCCGCCAGTAGAAAGCCAGACGCCGCCGCCGCCGCCGCGTCGTTCGAACCACCAACAGAGCACCTATGGTTCGCTCCTGTGTGACTTTTGGGTCATCCATTAGGGTGTTGACGCGCGGCCGATGCCGGAGACTGCTCCCGTTTAATATTCGACCGAGGAACATCTGCGGACGGGACGCCGATATTCACGTGGTAGTGGGATCGTTCCTCTTCCGTCACATGGAAAATGGACCGTAAAATGAGCGAGCTCGTGTTGGTGGCGGAACATCTGCCGAGTAGGGAGCTCCTGCGGAACGGACACCGCCGGCGCCCGGGAGGTCCGCCGTCTTCGTATAACGCTCATTGGGCCGCGCGGTAGGCGGTGCTCGAAAATGAACGTACAAAATGTACGCAGTCTGCACGTCCCAGAACGTGTATGTGCAGCCTCAAATCCCTGAGGAAGTAGACAGGATATATACTAGTAGTAAAAGTTCCCGCGCAACTGCAGCGGGCCAACACAGCGCTGCAGTCCATATCAAGAAATGAGGTCCACTGCTTAACGGATAGACACCGGAACTGCATCAAACTATGTCAAGCTCGCAAACTTCCGTGTCGCGCAATGTCGGCGCGGAATTCCGCGGTAACTTTCCGCTCCGCTGACTGTCCGCAGTTCACTGACCACCTGCGAACTGTAAAATCAAACACCATCTATAATCCACAATCCGGTCCGCCGGCCGGTCCACAGCTGAAACTGTTTCCAATAACGGGTCCTGGCCAGACCACACGTCTGCAGTGCCCGCGATTCACATGAACGGCAGATGGTAGGCAGAACAAACTGCACCATCCTAACTGGTCCACCAAAACACCGACAAAAGAGCGTGTCCAGCACCCACTTCCCATTGCCCGCCATACGACCGCCTCCGCCGGCCCACCGACTATCTGACCATCAAAGGACCATTTCGGCGTCTTTGCCGGCCGACAGACGCGCGGCGCCGATTCTGTCTGTCCCCTCGGTGTGACAAAAGGAACCGGCGCCGGCGGCGGGCCGATCCAGGTGGCGCCACTGTCCGAGCCCGTTTTACGCCCGCTCGTAAACAGTTGTTTGGCGAATGGCAGGGGAGGGGACTGTGCGTAGCAGACGGACAAACAAAACTCACACAGGGACAGCTGGGCGGACCGGTACGTCACAATCAACTGTCACACGCCAAACGAGCAACGGCAGAAACCGAAACTGAAAACCCCGCGCGAGGCGCGAGAAAAACTGAAAGGCCGGGGGGGGGGGGCTGAAACAGTCGGGGAGCCCGGCGCCGGCAAGTCGCGAACGCCGTAAACGGCACATAAAAAGCCGATGAATTGGTGCAAGGAAACCGGACGCCGGAGCACGCGCGCGGCGCGTATCGCCGCAGCTGATATCTTCACTAAAAAGGCACAGCAGGAAGGAGCCGCCGAGAGGCCGGTGCGGCCGACGGAAGCCGACGTCCGCAGTTGGTGTCAGCCGGGACCGGGCCGGGTCGGGTCGGAGTCACGAGCGCAGAGGAGTGAGTCACTGCCGATAGAGCGGCCGGGGACAGGACGGGGACGGCACAGAGCTTCGACCGGCGTCACGTGGCTCTTAACGGACCGGAGGCACCAGAAATCGCAGCAAGACATGTGTGCGGTAATATCAGAGGGACGGCCGGCTGCATTGGAAGCAAAGTCCGATAGAAGGTTTGTTGCAAATTTGCATGCTACTATGTAGTAAACCTGGAGAGGCTCATAGCTACAGGCTAACAGCACATTTGAGAGAAACTGAAATCAAAGTTGTGACAGAACTACCTCAAGTGTCCAGATGCGTAACACAAAAACATCCACAAGCACACATTATGAGTAATTGGAAGGTCAATTTTATATTAGTTAAGTTTTCAGCTTTCCTCATCATGACCTGACATTTACCAAATCCGTAAAAAAAAATGCACTTTGGGTTAAAGTCCGTGACCGCCGCAGACTATGACAATGCCCCCAGGGCCAGACCCTAGCACGACGTAAGGAAAACGAAGATTTTTAACTGCTCGATGAGCTGACGAAGACATCGATGACGGACTTGATGGGTGTTTTTCCATGACGAACCCTGAACTACGCCACACGCGCATTCCCAGCTTAGGCGTCGCCTTCTCCAGGGACATGTGCTGACATCTGGTGGTGAGGACCAAAACTAGCGGCGTGAGAAGCGGCTCGCCACCTGGCGGCCGGTCGGGAACTATGTAGGTGGCGTGCAGGTCGCTGAGATAAGCTACGGCAGCCTCCACGGCGAGTGGGCCGCCTGTAGCACGATAGTGAACTCAACAATCAAAACAAAACTCATAGTCCAGTATCACTGTATCAGTCTTGAGTCTTATTAAGGCATATCACAGATTTGAGAAA